GGACCAGCGCTAGCCCCCCTTCCCTAGCTCTCTGGGCGCGCAAGCGCCGACCGAAGAAATCCGCGGAGCTCCAAACTGGTGCGGTTGCGCAGGTTTTCCTTCGTCGAATCCTTATCGAAGAAAACGTCGGAGAGCATTGTCAGGGTGGACAGCTTGCTGTTCTCGACGAGGGTGTCCATGTCAGTCTTCTGCTTCTTGTCCTCGTCGGACACGCGCTCGACGCAGGCCGTGATGAGGAAGCTCTGCATGCCGAAGCAGCAGGTGCACGCAAAGACAGCGAAGAAGAACAGGATGACGGGCTGCCTCATCCAGATCGCGCGGGCAAACTCGGTAAACTCCGTGAGCATCGCCAGGTTGAAGATGGTGTACATGGACCCAGACACGGACCCAAAGTACATGTGGGGATTGAACTCCTGCAGCGGCTCGAAGTCCTCGTCCGTCTCGGCGTAGCCCGGGTACGTGCCGGCGTCGCGGAGTGCGACGCAGGAGAGTATGCCGCCGGTGTAGATGGTGATCCGCCTGCCCCCGCCTGAGCGAGGGGCACAGGGCGCGCAAGACGGTCGGCGGTTGTTCGCCACGCCCGAGGCCCACGACTCCATCAGAGGAGGAGGCGGAGGGGGGCAGGGCGAGGTGGAAGGAGGATCGGGGGGATGCGAGAGAGGGGCGTGAAAAGGGGGGGGGGGGGGGGGGGGGGCCCAAATCATGACCCGAGAGATGTGCGCAGGCCGAAGGAGAGACCGGGAGACGCATTGGAAAGACCAGAGAGGCCATGAACTCTGAGGAGAATCCTGGCTCCCGCAGTGATAGCCACCCCCGACCATCAGTCAAAAACTGATGATCGACTTCCCAAGGATATCCTTGCATCCTTGCCTCTTCGGTCATATTCGGTCCATCCTCAACCACTCTCGATGGCAAGGCTCGCTCGAAAAGCTTCGGCGTGGGCGCCCAAGGCCCCTGCATCCTTACCGCGCATCCTTAGTATCAATGTTGACTGTAGTCGTGACTCCCTCTTTTCCGCCCCCAACGGGAGGGAGGCAGGGCGAAGGACCTGGGCACGGGTGGCGGTCGACAGGCGAGGAATGCGCAGTCTCCCAGACCACCTGGCATCGAGGAGGATCACGGCGGGAGGTCCTTGGCTCCAAGGTGGAGCCATCGAAGGACCATGAGGAACGCGAAGGAGGGAACGAAGTAGCTCTTCTGGCCACGGCCACGGCAAGCCTCGGCCACGAACATGTTCTCCTGCCCTAGAATCCTACGGGACGGCCCTAGAATCATGGCCCCTCCTGAGCCCGAAGCGGCCCTTGTTTCAGCGTCTTGGCTGTAGCAGCAAATCGACCGAGATGGCACAAGATTGCAAGATAGTGCAAGACGGCTCCAGATGGATTCCGACTTGCCTCCAAGAGGCTCCAAGACTGCTCACGGAGCCTTCCAAGGATAGCCCCGAGAGGCTCAAATCTCTCAAGCACCCCCAACACAGACTCGGTCAAGTTAGGTATGTGATATCCTCTGATTGCTTCCAATGTGTTTCCGAGGCCTCCAGATGGCGCCAAGATCGCCCAAGAAAGCCCCAAGAGGGCCCCAAGGATTCTAAGACTGCCTGGCAAGAGCGCTCAAGATCGCCCCTGGAGCGTCCCAAGAGGCGATGTGCCGGGCTCCGATGTGGCGAGGCTGCTAATTGGGCCCCCCTTGTTTGATCGATGTCCTCCAAGATGGCCCCAAAAAGGTCCCACGAGACCCCGAAGAAGACTCCGGAAGCTCACGACATGGCCCAAGAGGACCCCGAGATGGCTCCAATGGGCCTCCTGAAAGCTCTCAGAGCGAACGATCCGCGAACGCCGTGATGCTTGACTAGCATCGTCGCCGTATTCTTCATCGCCTTCGTCCTCCCCATGTTCCTCTTTTCTCTGATCATCTGTATCCTTGTGCTTCTTCTTATTCCTCCTCCTCCTCGTCCTCCTGCTCTGCCTTGTCCTCCCCCTCCTCCTCCTCCTCCTCCTCCTCCTCCTCCTCCTCCGCCTCAGCCTCCTCCTCCTCCTCCTCCTCCTCCTCCTCCTCTGCCTCTTCCTCCCCCTCCTACGCCTACGTCCCCTCCTTCCCCTCCCGCCCACGGCGCACCTGAACTTGTTAGAGCTCGCGAGAACGAACTTTCAAACGTGCAATTCGTTGCACCTTCTGATCGCGCTACTTCGCCTCCTCATCCCCCTCCCCATCCTCCCTCCTCCCCCCTCCTTCTGCGCCTTCTCTATCCTCCTTCGTCCTCCTCCACCATCCTCGCTCCTCCCTCCTCCTCTTCGTCCTCCCTCCTCTTCCTCGTCCTCCTCCTCCTCCTCCTCCTCCTCCTGCTCCTCCCCCTGCTCCTTCAAACGAGACGCGACGGCTTAGATGCTTTATTACTGAGTCTGCAAGGGCTGATCCCGAGCGTCGGTGTGTTGGCTGTGTCAACCCGTCGCTCAACTGCATGATCCTGCACATCCCTGGCGAGGGCAACTCGCATAGAGATCGTGTATAAGCGGCATGGTGGGAGGAGGCTCAGGAGGAGAAGGACGTTGAGGATTTGAGGTTTGCACTTCGAGGTCAGAGCTTTCGGGGCGCCACGGATTTCGAGGCGGACCCAGCAGTGGCGACAAGAAGCTCCCCTGAGGCGCAGGGAAGGCCCGAGACGCCCGGCAGAGCTCCAGTGTCGAAGCTCGAGCCTCGAATGGACGATGCCCTCCGTCCTGTCGAAGTTCGGGCCTCGAGATTCCAAGGCCGACCTCCGAAGGAGGAGGAGGAGGAGGACGACGAGGAGGAGGAGGAAAACAAGCCTGCATCTGTTGGCATCCGCCCCGGATCTTCCTTGGACCGTCGCTGCGGCGCCCTCCCGGCGCGCCGACTCAAGCTTCCGCACCGATCTCCGACCGCTTACGCTTACACGGCAGGTTCGTGTCGTGAC